GGATGATCCCAGGTGAGATTTGTGGGAGGGTTAGTTGTTGAGAGGAGGTGGGGTATTGGTTGGATACCACAGATATGGGTGGGGGTTGCAACATTCAGAGAAGATTCACCAGATTAATTCCAGAGATGAGGGGTTTGTCATATGAAGAGTGATTGAGCAGTTTAGGCCTATACTTGCAAGAGTTTAGAAGGATGAGAGGATATCTAATTGAGGTAGTTAAGATGCCCAGGAGGATTGACATTGTAGATGTAGAGAGGATGTTTCCTCATATCGAATCTAGAAAGAGAAGTCATAGTCTTAGGATAAGGGAAGGTGGATTTAAGACAGAGATGAGAAGGAATTACTTCTTTCAAAGGCTCGTGAATCTGTGGAATTCAGTACAGCAGAGTGCAGTAGATGCCTGGACACAATAATACTGAGGAGGTAATAGATTATTAATGAGGAAAAGGTTAAAGGGTTGTGAGGTGAGTCTGTCAATACATGTGCGTAGGAGTTAAGAAGAAGATAGAGCTGAACCTGAACCCAAAACGTTAACCCTGATCTTTTCTTCGCAGAAGCTGCCAGACCTGCTGAGCTTTTCCCGCAACTTTGTTTTTGTTCCTGATTTACAGCATCCGCAGTTTCTTTCGGTTTCCTCATGTCAGTGCTGCCATCCCGGGAATCAGTCGACTAAACCTTTGCTGGACTCCCTCAATAGCAAGAATGTCCTTCCTCAGATTAGGAGACCAAAACTGCACACAATACTCAAGGTGTGGCCTCACCAAGGTCCTGTATAACTGCAGCAAGACATCCTTACTCCGATACTCAAATCCTCTCGCTATGAAGGCCAGCATGCCATTAGCTTTCCTCACTGTCTGCTGCACCTGTATGCCAACCTTCAGTGACTGTTCCACCATGACACCCAGGTCTCATTGCACCTCACCTTTTCCTAAACTGCCACAAATCAGATAATAATCTGCCTTCCTGTTTTTGCAACCAAAGTGGATAACCTCACATTTATCCGGATGTAGTACAGTACAGCAAAGGAACAGGCCCTTCGGTCCACTATGTCTGTACCAAACATGCGACCTACCTATTCAAGTGTCAGTCTAAATGCCAATTAAATTTTGCTATCGTGTCTGCTTCTACCGCCTCCCCTGGAAGAGTGTTTCAGGCACCTACCACCCTCTGTGTAAAAAACTTTCCCTCGCACATCTCCTAAAACTTTCCCCCTCACCTTAAACCTACGGCCCCTAGTATTTGACATTTCTGCCCTGGGATAAAGACTTCAACTATCCACCCTAATCATACTTCTCGTAATTTTATGTACTGTTATCAGGTCACCCCTCAACCTCCAATGCTGTAGTGATGTCAAACCAAGTTTGTCCAGTCTCTCCTTTTAGCTAAATACACTTTAATCCAGGCAATATGCTGGTAAAGCCTCTTTTGCACTTTCTCCAAAACCTCGACATGGTTTCTGTAGTATGGGAACCAGAAATGTATACAATACTCCACATGTGGCCTAACTAAAACAGTAAAGAAAAAAGACTTGCATTTGTATAGCATTTGCCATAGCCTCGAGATGTCCACAATCGCTTTACAAAAAATGAATTATAATTACAAAAGAAAAGTTGTATTTTTATAAGTTTCATGACCCTGGTCATCACAATGAGGTAGAAACTGTTCTAACCCAGCAGCTCCAATTTGTACACAGCACGATTCCATAAACAGTATTGTGGAAAATGACCCAGATACTGTACTCAGTTTCTGTGATGTTTAGAACTGGGCTTCATTTCCCCTTCAGCATGGTGCCATGGGATTTTCCACATTTACCCTGAGAGATGAGGACTGTGGTTTAATGCCTCATCCGATGACAGCATCTCTGATGGCTCCACAGTTCCCCAATGCTGCTGAGGGAGTTTCAGTCTTAGATAACAAGGCGTAGAGCTGGATGAACACAGCAGGCCAAGCAGCATCAGAGGAGCAGGAAAGCTGACGTTTCGGGCCTAGATCCTTCTTCAGAAAACGTTTCAGTCTTGGTGGTTTTGCCTGAGTCCTGAAGTGTGACTGAGTCACATCTGACAATATAGGAAATGAACATAACAACAGCGTGCACCGCAAGAATACATTGCACAACAACAACAACTTATATTTGTGTAGCATTTTGGCCATAGAAAAATGTCCCCAGCATTTACAGGAGCGTTACCAAACACAAGGATACATTAGGACAGGTGACCAAGCACTTGCCCAAAGGGATCATTATAAGAGATGGTCATAGAAATATTGAAAATAGGAGTAGACCATTCAGCCCTTCGAGCATGCTCTGCCATTCAGTATGATCATGGCTGATTATCCAACTCAGTCCTCATTCTCCCCCATACCCTCTGATCCTTAGGAATTGTATCTACCTCCTTCTTGAAAACATTCAGTGTTTTGGCCTCAACTGCTTTCCATGGCAGAGAATTCCATGGGTTCACCACCCTCCGGGTGAAAACAATTCTCTTCATCTAAGCCCTAAAGAAGGAGAGACTGAGAGGAAGGTGAAGGGTTTTGTTTTAAACTCACTCATGGGATGCAAATTTGAAGAATGACACCTTATTTTCTGCCTGAACACCCTACAGCCTGGGGGACTCAACACTGAGTTCCCCAATTTCAAATAACCTTCCCACCCATCCCCCGGCTCCCTTTCCAGCCCCACCTCCTCCCTTCCGTTCCACCTACTGACCCTCCCTTCCAGCCACCAACTGGATTCATCCCTCCCATCGACCAACCCCAAGCCATACCTACTACCAACATTCTGCCTCCACCCCTTCCCCCCCACCCCCTCTTTATCTGCAGCTCCCCCTACCCCCACATCCAGTCCTGAAGAAGGGTTGTACCCAAAACGTTGACTGTTCCTTTCCTCCAGATGCTGCCTGGCTTGCTGTATTCTTCCAGCCTCCTGTTTGTCTACCTTGGATTCCAGCATCTGCAGTTTTTTTGTCTCTTGCAGTGGGTGGTGTTCCCATGTATCTGCTGTCCTTGTCCTTCTAGTTGGAAGTGGTCATGGGTTTGGAAGGTGCTGTCTAAGGATTTTTGGTGAACTTTTGCAGTGCAACTTGTAGGTAGTACACACTGCTGCTACTGAGCGGTGGTGGTGGAGGGGAGTGAATATTTGTAGATGTTGTGCCAATCAAGCGGGCTGCTTTTTCCTGGGTGGTTTCAAGTTTCTTGGGTGTTGTTGGAGCTGCATCCATCCAGGCAAGTGGGAGTATTCCATCTCACTCCTGACTTGTGCCTTGTAGATAGTGGGGAGTCAGGAGGCGAGTTACTTGCTGCAGTATTCCTAGCCTCTGTCCTGCTTTTATAGCCAAAGTAGATATATGACTAGTCTAGTTCAGTTTCCAGTCAATCATAACCTCACAATACTGATAGTGTAGGATTAAGTGGAGGTAACGCCTTTGAAAGTCAAGGTGCGATGGTTAGATATTATCTTGCTGTAAACGGCTATGGTGATGTTGTGTGAATGCTACTTCTGGTTAGGGGAAAAAGAATTCAGAGCATAGGGAAACACTCCTGCCAAAGATGGAGAAGTTAACATTGAGCACATGCAAAAGGCTGGTCCCAGAGAGTTTGCAAATCCAGTCATGGCTTAACTGAGAACCCATGTAGATTAGTGAGTGTACAGTGGTGCTGATCTGTAAGGAAAGGTTCGAGATGGGTAGGATTGTAGTTTGAAAGATTGGATGGGGTCAAGAGTCTGATGATAGTAATTGTGAAGGTTACAGAGAGGCATTAGGAGGTCAGGTCTGGTCTGACACAGCCCAGGAATGGTGTGTGGCAGGCCTGATGCTGAGGGAGGGGCTGTCAGGGAGGAATGAGGGTGAGGGTAGGTGTTCTGGAAAGGGACAGGGTGGAGGTGCCTGGGGAGGGAATGAGTTATTCCGGAGATGGCAACTGGACGTGTGTGGGGAGGAGGGTTCTGGTGAGGGCTGGGGGCTTTGGGGATGATAATGGCAGGGATCCAGGGAATGGATTGGGGGTCTGGGTGTGTGCAAGAGTGGGGAACAAGGTTGGGGGGGAAGGGATCTGTGGAGGCTCGGGATGAGGCGTAGCTGAGCTTCCAGGAGAAGCTGTTATCTAGGGTGGGGAGGAGAGACTTGCGGTGGCAGGAGGGAGTGTGGGGTGAGATCCGGGGAGTGGGGCAGGGGGCAAGTTTCAGTTTCTGGGGATGGAACTGGCAGGGGAGGGCTATTTGGAAAAGACCTGAAGCAGGAATGATCCAGATGGGTGATGGAATGGGGGAATCACTGGAGATGGAATATCACTGAGATGAAGGGGGTGGGGGGGGGGGGGTGTTGGTGAAGGTGGGTTGTTTTGGGGGTTGGGCGTTCTGAAGCATGGGGGAAGGGGTCTGGAGCCCTGTGGTACGTTATATTCTCAACAGACCACGCCCTAGCGAACTCTCCCATCCCCAGCATTCCCCCACCACCCTCCACGTCCATGGAAACAAGCCAATCACACTGTGTGTGTGTGTTGTCAATCTGAGTGAGGGCCAGGGGACTTTGCAGAGAGAACATCAGGAGATTTGTAAAGCCGCCGCCAGTGACACTACACTACACCAGATCTGGAAGGATGACACGAGTTCTGAGTTCAAACCGAACTATAGGGGGCTTGTTTGCTGGTCTGTAGCACCAGTCTGGACTGATTCGCAAACTTTGCAACCGGTTAGCTGGGAAAATAAAGCCAGGGGAAATAACGACCCTGACATGATCCCAAAACAAAATTAAATTGCACCTAGTGGAGAGATTGAAACATTGTGACTAGTTATTTCTTTCTCTGCCGAGGTTAAATATCATTCGTGCCACTGTGATTCAGTCAGTTGAACAAAATCCCCACCCACTTTCTCTTTTTGCCTTACAATGGACACAAACATTACAGGTCCTTTTCACACCCTATTGTCAACTGATTTACTCCGGGTTTGAGTGACTTTTAGCCGGTGCTAGATTTACAGGAAATCTAACTGCAGTCTAATCGCTGAAATTTGACGGAGGGGTTGGTCAGTAATGACTTCATCCCTTACAGTTGTGGGTGTGAGCTGTCGGTTTACAACATCTGATTTGCCATCAAATTATTTATTGTAAAGCACCAGTCAGCCCCAGCGTTCAAGAGAAGAGTTAACTCGCTGCTACTTGGGCAGTTTCTCTCTCCGTCTCTCAAAGTGGGACTTTTTTTTTTCCGCTTGGAGAATTCAGAGCCGAAAAGTCTGGGGAGAAATAAAGGAGTGAGAGAGGAGGGACTTAATGTACACTGTCAATCGGCCAGGAGCCAATTCCGCTCGAATTGAGGAGAGCTGAGAGCAAGGCACGGATCTGAGTCCCAGCTATTTCTTAACGCAGAGAGGGGAAACTGCATGAGGAACTGTGTCAGTTAGCTTTGGATGTAGCGCTGAACATTGTACATTTCTGTTCCGGCTTTGTATGTGTATGTGAGAGAGAGAGAGGGAGAGCTGGTGGAAGGAGTCTGTTGCAGATGACGTGGACTAGCACTATGAGCAGCGGGTACAGCAGTTTGGAAGAGGACTCTGAAGAGTATTTCTTCACTGCAAGAACTTCCTTCTTCAAGAAGCCTCAAGTTAAACCCAAACCTGATGAAGTAAGTGCGGTGTTTCTTCGGTAACTATATGCTGGAAGGCAATGTTGGCAGAAAGGGTGGAGGTTTGCAGATGAGGTGTACCAATTGGTAAAGGCGGGTGAGCTATCCATTTTCCATAAAACCATTGGAAAAGCTAAGGCACAGTGACAGTGCACAATAACTGTGTTAGGTGTGTATAACTTCTGAACTGTGCTCCTCCCAGATGACTAGATTTTGTGCATTGCCTGGCACCTGGCCATGCGCTGGTGTATGCTTAAAAAGATTTTATTATCTGACGTAATTGCTGATTGTGTTTGTGGCATTCTGTCCTACCAAGTGCAGTAAAGTGTTGCACTGATGGGGATGTCCAGTACAGATCTACTGCAACAATGAATGTGACACTGCTACCGTAAAACCACAGAATCATGGATGTCAGGATATGGAAGTGTGCTGTAAGAGGTGACTATTTGATTCACTAGTTTGAGGTTAGACAGAGCATGCTGTGTACTCATATCCAGCAGTAGAGTGTTAGGTTAGTACTGGTTTAATTCTTGTGCAAGACTAACGTCAGATGTGGCCATCAAGGTGTTTTGTTAAGATTTAAGACACAAATAAAATTGAAAAGCCGAAAGAGCTGGAGCAGATGCTGGAAATCAGAAACAGAAGTTGCTGGAAAAACTCAGCAGATCTGGCAGCATCTGTGGAGAGACAGCAGAGTTAATGTTTCAGGCTGGGAGAGAGGCCTCTGTTCTCTTGCTGTGGCACTGTCTGAATGGCCACTGTCTGTGATGTTACAACTCTTTTGCTCTTCCCTTGCAGAGAAATCATAGAACCGTATGGTGTGGAAGTAGGCCATTTGGCCCATCAAGTCCACACCAACCCTGCGAAGTGCATCCCTCAAAGACCTGCCCCACTACCCTAGATTTTCCATGGCTAATCCACCCAGCCTGCATATCCCTGGACACCATGGGCAGTTTAGCACAGCCAATCCACCTAATCTGCGCATCTTTGGACTGTGGCAGGAAATCCACGCAGACACAGGTGAGAATGTGCAAACTCCACACAGTCACCCAAGGCCGGAATCAAACCTGGGCCCCTGGCACTGTGAGTCAACAGTGCTAGCCACAGTGCCACTCCAGGAGTTTGGCTCATGCTAGAATGTAGTTCTGTAGGCATCCCTAGTCCATTCAACCCATTGCTGAGTCTCCCACATGCGGTCGCAGGCTTTCAGTCCTCCAAACCTGCTCTGCCATTCATTTAGATAACAGTCTCAAAGTACGGTTCATTTTGAAAGGAACAAGGCACTTCCACATAATAAAAACTGAAAGAACTGCGGATACTGTAAATCAGGAACAAAAACAGCAGTTGCTGGAAAAGCTGAGGAGGTCTGGCAGCATCTGTGAAGAGAAAAATCAAAGATAATGTTTCGGGTCTGGTGACCCATCCTCAAATGGCAGCACCATCTTTACCTCCATTTTCAGCTGGACACAGCTAACCCTGGGGTGGAAGCAAGACTGAGCCAGATCTCTGAAGAAGGGTCCTGACCCGAAACGTCAACTTTCCTGCTCCTCTGATGCTGCCTGGCCTGCTGTGTTCATCCAGCTCTACACTGTGTTATCTCTGACTCCAGCATTGTCAGTTCTTACTATCTCTGAAAAATGTGGCCTGGTCCTTTCGAGAGTTTGGTTACCCAGAGGCTTCCATTGCCTGTTTGTAATGCACACCCTCAGCAAAATTAGGAGCTAAGTGAAAGAGGGTCCTAGTCTTGTATCATCTCCCAAAATAAAATGAAAATTGAAAATGCTGATGAACTGAATTCTATTTCAGTTTACCAGCATCCACAATATTTACCTTTGTAATAAAACAATTCTCATTGGTCTCAATTTAAGAAACTAGATGTCACATTTCTGCACGAGTGTTGACCTTGTATTTTGCCATGTTGTGTATGTCACACATTTTAATGAACTTTATCATACACACTAGAAGCAAATATATATTGATTCATTCGTTGCATCGCTGCTTTGGTCAAGGCTGATGGTAAAGAGCGTTAAGGATATTGAACTTTTAGATTAGTGATGTGACATGATTCCAGATAAACTGCAGGTTACATTGTCCCTCATGTGACTTGAGGTTTTGCTGCTTGTCTACAGTTGGCAATCCTTTGGGGAAAGTATTATTCAGGTATTCTTGCAGCAAACTGTATACAGGTTAAAGAGTGCTGCTCCTTCAGTGACATAAGACAAAGGACATCCTGCATCAGAAAACAAAGGCAGAATGGATATTGCACCATGTGTTATCTCAGAGAGATCCAGTAATGACCTTCACATTGGGCCAAGTATCAGGGGTGGGACTGGAGGGGAGGGTACGGTTTGTGCATAGTTCAGAAAGAGAATAATCAATTAGTTTTCATTTGGTTGAGGTAGGAATGTTGCTTAAGGAAATCAGAACTTTTCTAATTACTTTACTCAGAGATAGTAAGAACTGCCGATGCTGGAGTCAGAGACAACACAGTGTGGAGCTGGAGGAACACGGCGGGCCAGGCAGGATATCTGAAGAAAGGTCCTGACCCAACACGTCAAGTTTCCTGCTCCTCTGATGCTGCCCGGCCTGCTGTGTTTCTCCAGCTCCACACTGTGTTATCTTTTTCTAAATACTTTATATCCAAGTAATATATCCTTAAGAACATGAAGCTGGGCCCTGTTGTTGACAACTCATTGAGGACAATGCCTGAAATCACAGCACAGCTATCGACCTGAATCAAACTGTTGGTATTGAGGTAATCAAATCAGAAGTGGGACTCATTATTTTTCTTGTCACGATTGCTGATCCAATTTAACTCTCTGTTACACACCATCTTGATTTTGTACATCTCGTTCTTAGTTTTTCAAGTCTTTCATTGTCAGTGGAAACTCCTCCAGTTTCCACATCCATTCCAGGTACCTGCCTAGCTTCACGTCCTGGTCACCGAGCTGCCTGTTTTTCATCAGCTCCACCATCGGTGGCTGTGCCTTCAGTCACATACACCCCAAAGCTCTGGGATTCCCTTCTGTGATCTCTCCACATTTGTACCTCCATTGAGACATTTCTTACCTCTGCCACTGATGTCGCTGTTTCACTTTTTGTTTGATGATGTTGCTTTAAGATGTTTTGCTATGTCAAAGGTGCTATACAAATACAATCTGAAGAAGAACAATGCTGGAAATGCTCAGCAGGTTAGGACAGAAGCAGAGTTAACATTTCATAGCCCTTTAATGTGTAGGAGCAGAAGTAGGCCATTCAGCCCATCGCATCTACACCACCAACCAATCATGGCTAATTTGGTAATCCTCAACTCTACTTTCCTGGTTTTTACCTGTAACCCTTGGTTTCCTTACTGATTAATAAGCTGTCTATCTCAGCCTTGGATACACTAGACCCAGCCTTGACTGCCCTCTGTGGTAAAGAATTCCACAGATTCACTACCCTCTGGCAGGAGAAATGTCGTCATCTCTGTCTTGAGTGAGTGAACCATTAGGGATTATTCCCTCTGGTCCTAGGCTCTCCCACAAGGGGAACAACCCCTCCACACTTTGTTAACCCCCCCTACGTATGTTTCAAAAGGGTCATCTTTCATTCTTCTAAATTTCAGTGAGCATAGGCCCAGCCTACTAGACCTCTCCTCATAAGAAAATCCCTCCATTCCCAGTGTCAATCTAGTAAACCTTCTCTGGACTACCTCCAAGGCCAGAATATCTTTCCTTAAATATGGGGATCAGAAGTATTCATTGTTTTCCATGTGTCATCTTGACTAGTGCCTTTTTAAAAATTCATTTGTGGGATGTGGGCATCCCTGGCTGGGCCAGCATTTATTGCCCTTGTGAAGGTGGTGCTGAGCTGCCTTCCTGAACTGCTGCAGACCACCTGCTGTGTGTTGACCCATATTGCCATTAGGGAGGGAATTCCAGGATTTTGACCCAGCGACAGTGAAGGAACGGCGATATATTTCCAACTCAGGTGAGTGGCTTGGAAGGGAACTTGAAGATGGTGGTGATAACACAGTGTGGAGCTGGAGGAGCACGGCAGGCCAGGCAGCATCAGAGGAGTAGGAGTACGGGTTAGAAACTTTCTGAAGAAGAGTCCTGATCCGAAACGTCAACTTTCCTGCTCCTCTGATGCTGCCTGGCCTGCTGTGTCCTCCAGCTCCACACTGTGTTATCTCTGACTCCAGCATCGGCAGTTCTTACTATCTCTCTTGAAGATGGTGGTGTTCCCATGCATCTGCTGCATTACAATCATATCAAGGCCTCCCTGTTTTTATACTCCATTCCTTGTGAAATAAAGGCCAACATTCTATTTGCCTTCCCTATTACGCGCTGAACTTGAAACCTGGGTTTTTGTGATTCATGCATGAGGAAACACAAGCCCCTTCGTTATGCAGTCTACCCCATTCATCAGAAACGAACATTAGATAGTTATGAAGGTAACAGGAGGGCGTGTTGTGCCTGGCTGTGTCACTGATACAGTAAACCATAGACCTGGGCTAAAGGGAGCGTTGTAGGGTTTATAGGTGGGGGAGGGGTGAAAGATGCTGGTGGTGTAATGGGTTCAAATTTCAGCACAGCAGCTGATGGAATTTCAATTCAGTTAATGAATCTGGAATTCAGAGCTGAATTTTAACAAAGGTGACCATGAAACTATCGTCAAGTATAACACAGTGTGGAGCTGGAGGAAAACAGCAGGCCAGGCAGCATCAGAGGAGCAGGAACGTTGACAAAGGGTCCCCACCTGAAACGTCAACCTTCCTGCCCCTCTGATGCTGCCTGGCCTGCTGTGTTCCTCCAGCTCCACACTGTG